GAAACACCAGACAGATAGAACAAGTATATGAATATAGGATCTAGAATATATAGATATACAAGGTTCCAATCTGACTAGAGTTAAAGTGTACTAAAGAAAAATACAACCAAATGCTACTATCCCACGTAGCCACAAGCAAAACAACACATCGCCAAGCAAAACAGCTGCAAGGTCCACCAACCTCACCACAAGACGCACCTCTATTCCTGCCCTGCTCCCATACATAGTATGATCATCGCAGTCCAAAAACATGGAAAACAACAGAAGGGTAAGCTAGTGAAAGAAAATAATCTAAATAACAAACTTTCATTAAGAAAGAACGTTCATTTACCAACACAAGATGAACTCGCATATAATGATTTACTACTGAATTCTGAAATTCAGAATAAAAGCAATTCAAAATTTTAACTTTAAATCTTTAAAATATTATTTAGATTTTAAAAAATATTGATTCTTTTAAAAAATTATTTAAAATTAAAATGTAATGTATTTATTTTATAGTTTTATTTTCTTTTTTAACATTAGAATATTAAGTAAATAAATAAATGTTCTTCGAATGAAAAAAATCATTCATACAAGGGGAGTCCCTATCTTAAATGAGAGAATATGTTATATGAAAGAGGATTTTCAAGTTTCATTAAAGATTTGTAAGAGAAATTTCTAAGTTTAATTCATAAAATTTGTGAGGAAAATTTTCAAGTTTCATTCATAAAGTCTTTAAGGAGAAATTTTCAAGTTTTACCTACAAATCTTGAAGGAAAAATTATCAGAAACATACATTTTGTAACGACCCGACTGGTCACTACGCCCGGCATAGCACACTCGAAACACCAGACAGATAAAACAAGTATATGAATATAGGATCTAGAATATATATAGATATACAAGATTCCAATCTGACTAGAGTTAAAGTGTACTAAAGAAAAATACAACCAAATGCTACTATCCCACGTAGCCACAAGCAAAACAACACATCGCCAAGCAAAACAGCTGCAAGGTCCACCAACCTCACCACAAGACGCACCTCTATTCCTGCCCTGCTCCCATACATAGTATGATCATCGCAGTCCAAAAACATGGAAAACAACAGAAGGGTAAGCTAGTGAAATTAAAATTCATCATACAATTATATAATTGGCAATATAATTAACAACAGATACAGTTATCAGCACACTTGTACAGCTTATACCGCTCAACAATATCAGCACCGCAATGCGGCAATATCAGCACTGCTTAGCAGCAACAACAGCACCACTCTAGTGGCTATAACGGCACCGCAAAGCGGCAACAACAGCACCACTCTAGTGGCTATAACGGCACCGACTTAGCGGCAACAACAGCACCGCCTTAGCGGTTAGAATCAGCACCACATGTGTGGCTAACAACAGCACCGACTTAGCGGCTATAATATCACCCAACCCAGCATATCTCAGCACAGTACAGCACAGCACAGCACAACAATTCAACAAAATTATTACTTTCTACAATTCAGCCCAACGGTCTATAATGCCGCTATACTATATAATTTCTCTTATTAATCCATTGATTCCAGCTCAACAATACACCTCTAATACAACTAACATATTTATCTCAGCTTAATCCCCTAATCATCACAACATATTCATCAAATTCGCTTGGTTCAGCATATCACATCATTGATTAACAATTTCGGCACAACTCAACAGTCAATGTCCTATAGATCATCATTTTCCTTGCGCGCCCGGCGCACTCGAGGTTGCGCCCAGCGCGACTCAACCCGAGAGCACCAAGGCTCTCCCGCGCCTGGCGCAATTCCAAATTGCGCCTAGCGCCTGTCTGGCAGAGACTCAAGGAGTCTCGTGCGCCCAGCGGAGCCTAACCCGCGCCCAGCGTGGGGAAGGCAGAGACCCACCAGGGTCTCGCGCCCAGCGCAATTCACAATTGCGCCCGGCGTGCCCTTGGCAGAGACTCCCAAGGAGCCTCCGCGCCCAGCGAGTCCAAAAGTGCGCCTAGCGCAGTCCAAGTATCCCAAAAACATGTTACTCTTGATATCGCGCCCAGCGCAGCTCGAGTCACGCCCGGCGCGGGCTAACCAGAGACCCCCATTTGCAAGCTCGCCCAGCGCACACAGCCTTGCGCCCGGCAGACTTGCCTAAACAGAGTCTCCTGGTGGTCACGCGCCCGGCGCGACGAACAGCGCTCAGCGCGAACTCATCAGTAACTCTCCCAAGTTCGAAAAATTTCCAAAACCTGCAAAATTTCACAGAAAACTCACATGCAAACGGTTCAAAGTGCCACATTTTCATCAAGGAGTTCAAAGATACCAACTTTATGTGCATGCAACAACAAATCAAGCAAAAATCCAAGTTTTTGACTTAAACCCTCAACACTCCAAGAACCCCAAATTTCCAGCAACACAGCAATTATAATCACTCATCATCAGCCACAAGAGTTCATATAACTCATTTTCAACCACACAAAACCCTAAGGACTAGCTTCCCTTACCTCGCTTTGAAGAAATCCGAGCTTCGGAAACTTGAATGAAGGAGAAGAACGAAAGGGAGCTTGAACAAAGAGGAAGAACAAGCTTGGGGACTCAGCTCTCGGATAAGAAATCAGCTCTCCTACCTCTTGCTCTCTATGATCAGCACCTCCCAAGAAGCTACTCCGCACCACCACCTAGAGACAGCAAATGGAGGAGAAGCGCAAATGGGAAAAAGAGAGCGTGAGGGTTTGGGGGGAAAAAGAAAAAGAGGAGAAAGAGAGAAAGTGGGTCTTACACATTTAATACATTTTAAGATAATAAATATACATAAACATAAAAGACCAAATTATGTTAAATTAATTATAATTTTTTATCTATTTATTATATTATTTTTAATGAGCTTTTTTTTATTTATCATTATGATATATTAAAGAGTGAATTTTTTTTTTCCAACAAGAACTAATACGCAATAGAACTGCATAGCCATTATGGATGTCCGCTTGGGAGATGACGAGTTTGTCTCATCCAAAAAGAGGTAAAATTGAGACTTAACACTTGCCTTGCATGACTTTGGGCATAAGAAATGTTTGTCCTTTATTTCCTCTCATCGCGATCTTTTTAGTTACACAACATTCCATGTGTTGCCATAAGTGCTTTGTTCCATTTTTTGATTTTCCACCCAAATGTTTCTTACAATAATTGCATTGAGCTTTGTCTTCTCCATTAACTTTAACTTTTGTAAAATGCTTCCAAACTTCACTTTTAAGCCTACCTACTTGCCCTTGTTTGTGTATTTGTCTCTTCCATATTATCACCTGTTATATCTTGAGGTTGAGGTTCAATTGTTTGAACATGTTCATTAATTGCAGGAGTAGTACCAACACTTGAAGGATCACGATTTCCTTCTGGAATTGATTGAGGTGTACTTTCTAGTGTCATATTAATATCTGTCATTACTTTCTTTAAAAAAATCTGTCAAAAAGTATAAAAAAAAATGCATTCACTTTACTACATTATAAAAACTGCACTATAATAGTTATACAAATAAATTAACTACACTATAAATTATTTACTAGAGCACTTTATTTAGTAGATCAACAATTAACTAGTATGTGAGACATTCCTATTATTGGGTGCAGTAGGTATAATAAAAATAGTTCGTCTTTATCCATCTAAGAGAACCCTTTTTATGAGAAAATAAAATAAAAATAACCCAAAAAAACTATATTCCTAAGAATATTTTTTTAAAAAATAACTACTAAATATGAGAAATCAAAGATGATAAAGACAAAAAGGGGGAAACAAATATCTTAAAATAAAGAAAATGGAACAAGAAAACTGGGGGTGTTTCCCATGCGTGCAACAAGCCTAACATAATATGAATTTTGTACATAACATAACATGCGTGCAACAAATATGCACTACCAACATCATTTTCAAAAGATTTTAAAATGTCAAGGATTTGAAGTCAAGATTCTGATATGCAAATTTTGTCAAAGATAAGGAAAGATAAAGAAATAACCTAAACGGACAAAATTCAAGATACTCTCACATTTTCTGTTTGACTAACCCAACAACAGAGTACCAACACCAATCGAAAATGTTTTCATAACCTGCAAAATGAGTTAATATATATTATTCATCATGTAATTTTAAGATCCCGCACACAACCTCCTACAAATAAATTGGGAGTGCAGATTCTGCTATTACCTTCAAATTTGAGATAAGAGGAAGTATGTAATTAATTGAAGCAGCCCCATATTCACCCTCACACATGGGATGATCACTTTGAAATAACTTCAACGTGGGGCTTTCCAGAGTTAACGATTGAGGGTAAAAGCAAGTGATTTGTGGCAAGTCACGAAGATTCAACTTCTCTAAACAGGAAAAAATAGAAAAATCAAGCAAAAAAATAACTTTAATATCACAAAAATATGACAATAATGGTAGCAATTTATCCCAACATACTCAATCCCACTTGAGCCAGGATGAAGAGATGAAAAAGAGAGAGTTGTGGCTTGCGTTCGTGACTCTAAGAAAGATGAAGAGATGAAGAGGCAAGAGTTGCTGGCCTGCTGCCATGTGAGGTGAACTTCGTGACTAAAAATGAGGTTAGGGTTTCTAATTTTGGTTTATATTGTATATAAGGGTAGTTTTGTAATTACATTATTAAGCGGG